AACAATTTTATCATTTCAATTGGGAAAAACAGTCAGCTGTTGCTACTACCTGTGTCAATGGAAAACTGGGTACTATATTAAAAGCAATATTTAAAAGTTGTTCAAAACATAATCATCAAAAGAAGACCTCAAAATCCGTTACTGATAAGGAAATACGAACTAATATGAGTTTCCAATAAAAGTGGCTAAAGCATAAAAGAGTAGCAAGAGCAAGTCTTGAGGAAATTATGAACTAACTGGACTTCTCTGAAAGAAAGTATAACAGTCTGGATAACAATTTCAGAGTTTATTTTAACATTTCTGTTCCTATGTATTTGTCCAAGACAAATACAAATATGCCTGCCTACTTAAAGACTTGCTGACAAAATTTGATTATATATATATTACATATATATAAATATATATATATATATGAATTTTGTAATATAGCTATTTGAATTTTTGTAATATATATATTTAAGAGAGATATATATTAAACAGAAAATATATAAAACAAAAAATTACTAATAAAAAACTAGGAAGAACCAAAACTATACCAATGTCACCATATAGCCATAGACATGAAAATATTCAGAAACAAACTGAAATATGGAAAATGTTCAAAACTCATAAACATCTTAATAGCAAAAACAAAACATTAAAAAAGTCTATAGTTCCAGGTGAAAACCAAGATTGGCCAAAACTAACCAACCTTAAATTATAGTTTACCACGCTCAAAACACTTAAATCTGTTCTCCAATCAGGAAAAAAAAAAAAAAAAGCTCCCAGTCTAAAAGTTACTCTACAATACAGTGCTGATTATCTCATATAATTTAATATCGGTATTCAAAAAGCACTCAGTAAAGTCCAGCTCATTTCCTTTTGAGTGACCGACTGTGAGCTATGGTTCACTGCTGCTGTCCCACATCAAACGACAGATATATCCCCACACCAGAATCCTAGCCTGGGAGAAGAATTCAAAATCCGGTTTTTGCTGAATGCATATCTCATCTGCAGTGAGCCCTAAGGACTGATCAAACAAGCAATGAGCCAACTCAGTAGTTCTACAGATAACAGCACTTGCCTTTCAAGCCAGGGGCTTTAATTTCCAGAACCCCTTGCAAAGGTGAAAGGAGAGAGGTAACTACAGAGTTGTCCTCTGACCTTCAAATACTCGCTGGAACAAGTTTGCCTGCATTCAAACTCACATATCATGTGCATACATGCTCAGGTAATAATCCAGTGGCCAATGTTGGATGTGTTCCTTAATCACTGTCTACCACAGACTTGGAGACTCACTGATGCTCACTGATTCTGGTAAGATGGCAACTTGTAAGCTACAGGGATCCATCTTTCTCTTCCCAGTGCTGGGTTACAAATGAGTGCTGTTGTGTTGGCTCTTTACATGGGTGCTGGAGACCAAACACAGGTTCTTATGTTTGGGCAAAGAGCATTTTAGTGACTAACCTAGCTCTCCAGCACCCAAGACAGTATTTTGGGGGAACTGCTTTACTCGTTTTGAATTGTGGTATGGTGTGTTTAGAAAACATGATTGGTAACCATTATAAAAATTGATAAATATCTTTCTTTTTCCCTCCTCCTTCTTTCTCTTCCCCCCCCCCCCAACATCACTATGGTTTAACTTGCTACTATGTAGCCAGCTGGTCTTGAAATGAGAACCTTTCTGCCCCAGCTTTCTCAGTGATGGGCATACCTGGAGAATTGGACTTTTCTTTCTGACTACGGATTTTGTATTAATACATAGCGCAAACAATGATAGCACTTTTTGAATAACCTGTTGTCTTGACTTTTTTCAATTGAAGGGGATATTTATGTCTCTACATATCCTCATAGTACATTTAAAAAATAATAAATGCCCGCTTAGATCCATTAAACACTCAGATCTGAAGAAGTGTCTCCTGTCTACAAAGTGTAAAGCTTTCCAAGAAGACTTAGAGGTATTTTGTGAGTTGCCCAAGGTCACAGAGCACAGATTTCGATCTAATCCACATCCTGTCTCGTTTCTTCTACCTCTTACTTTCCTGGCTTGGGTGCTTGTCCAGCACTCATTGTTTCTCAGTAACCGAAATGTCAGTTCTTACCTAGGGATCTAAGTGGTCACTCCATTCACTTTCCTTCTAAGAACCATTCACTTACAAATATTCATATCAAATATTTACTGAGACCTACTATGGGACAAGAACAATTCTAAGTCCTATTGTGTAACACTACAGGCAACTCATTCACCAGGATGCTTTCCTGTTGAAGTGCTCAACTATAAGTCACCTTGATTCCTGAGAGGAAGTTACCAATCCTTCTCTAATGAATTGAGATTTGTAATGTGAATTTATGTATCTAGTTTCTTCTAAGATAGGAAGATCCTACACCTAGGTAAATAGTAAGCACAAAGGTTGAAGAGAAAGGTCCAAGAACAACATAATGGCAGGTTTACCTCTACTCCATGTACTGCCAAATCCTCTCCTGTAACATCTCAAACCTCAGAAAATCTGCTCTCTGAAGTTTTCCAATATTTCCTAACTTCGTAGCTTGGGCAAACCAGGAATTAAGCAGAAGCTAGAGGAAGGGAAAACACAGCCCCTTCATATTACATAGTTACAAGTTACTTAGCAGATTAACAAAACAAAACAAAAAGATACAAAAAAAAAAGAAACAAAGTTTTGTGTGTTGTTGCTTTAAAAGGATACTAATCTTACAGCTCTTTACAATAAAAGGGAAGAAAAATCTTGAAAACAGAATCATTCCAACAACTATAATAGTCATTTACTTAAAATTTGTCAACAGATCTGCACACTTTATAGACGAGGGGATCAAAAAGCAGTAAAAATTCTATCTACATAGCAGCCTGCTCCAGATAGCCCCTCCCTTTCCTAACAGTCTTTGAAGCCTCTAAGTGAAATCAGTTTCACTTTTGTTTCTTCTTCTGTGTGGAGTTCACTTCCTACTTCTTAGGGGCACTACTAGCCCTAGTTTCTAGCATAATTTTAAAACTTCAACTTTGAGTTACATTGTTGCAAAAGAATTTATAATAATACTGTTTGACCCTGTGCTGATACTGGTAACAAAGTAACTGTGTATTAACAAGAGAAAGAAACACATTTAAGAAGCTACAGACGGAGTTCAGTTGGTAGATTTCTTAGCTAGCAAGTATGAGGCTCTATATTCAGTTCCCAGCACCATTAAAAGTAAGCATTGTGGATGTATAAAAATATATGATGTTGCTCTAAAAGGATTCACTGATTATCAATGAAATGATCTAACATACTTACACATGCTAAAACACAACATCAACAACGTTAATATTTTGAACTAATATTCTCTTTGGGGAGAGGAGGCTCATTAAACAGGAGGAATATTGGACTCGATGACAATGATCACTTTCAGTAATTTGATTCTTGATTCTACAGTTTTATGTACAGAGTTCTGAGCCATCAAGGTAGCTATCTGACTATGCAAAGAAGTGGCTTAGTCAAAATAAATGAGAAAAACCACAAACTTAAAATAAAGTCCTTGCTATTTTAAAGTTTAAGAGAAGCAAAAAAAAAAGCAACATTTCCCACTTTAAAATAAAGAAGTTTTAAAATGCAAAGTGAATATAAACAAAATGCTACTGAGCCAATTGCTTAGTATTCCTAAGACCACATGACCTTCCAATCAAAACTCCAGCACATCTTAAACATCAAAATCTAAAGATTATAGTGTTCTAGTTACAGCACACAGAATTAGGAAGCCAACTGTTTTCTTTGTTATTGTTATTCAGTATTGAATTCTTTTATCACAAATACATTACAGTTTGCCATAATCTTCTCAGTGTGCAAAGAAGCATAGACTAAAATAGGCTCCAGAAACAACTTTAACAAAAGTGCCTAAAATAACAATGCACTATCCCTACTTTCCAAAATTCTCTGACATCTTTGGTTATCTCAAGGAACATAAAATTCTAAAACTATTCTAATGGTAAACAAACAAACAAACAAAAACTCAGGCGGCTGTTTGAAGGTATTAGTCTAATTGGTCTATTTTAGTACAACAGGCCTCACTTTAGAGACAAGCACAGGTAGTCTGCAAGTACAGGGTGGCAAAACTACAGCAGGGTGTGGCATCCATTACTCACACCAACAAGCCAAAAAAGGCTCTGGCTGTTCATTGTAAACCTAATCACTCCCTACAATTAGAATTCAACTAAGCCAACATTTCCCTTGTGCTCAAAATGCTTTTCCCCACCAATAAGGGGTGGGGGGGGGCAGGAGTAGGCAAAACAAGTAATGGCCATCTACTCTTCAGTATATGGAGCAAGCTATGCTGGAGCATTTAAAATTCTTAAAGTAAAACCTAGAATTAGCAAGATGCTATTCTAAAAGCAACATGGGATGGTCCCTCTAACTCTGTGTATGACTGGTTCTAGAGTAAAAAATGAACGAACAAGAGACTCAGCAAGGTCAAACTTAGGGGACAAAAGATTTGAATAACAGCCATAAAGGTCTCCTTACACGAGAGATAGTTTCTATATTCTAGAAAGAAAACAAATAGAGGAAGAAAAGAAAGAATAATTAATCAAACCCTCTACTTGTATAAATTCCACCCTGGGTCGATGATATGTACCTGCCCTGGAAGACAGGTAATTCTTTTGGGGAGGTTAATTTTTTTTTTTTTCAGAACAGCAGGCCTGGAATAATAAGACCTCCGAAAGAGAAACTGTCCAAAAGGGGTGACAAGTGACATTCTTGCAGAAGAAAAGGGACTAGAAAAGGAAGCGAAGGAGAAGAAAAGTTTAATTACAAAGCCTGGCAGAATACTGGAGGAATGCGGGGGTCACTCTGGGGACACGGCGCCGTCGGTTCTGGGAGAGCAACTGCAGAAGGGAGTGGACGCAAAGCCTCTCACTTACTACACACCCCGCTCTGCACGCAGCCCCGCGGAACCGAGCGCGACGCCCCGGGGTGGCCCAGTCAGGCGGGAGGCCACGCGGCCCGTCGAGGAGCGGCGGCCAGCCCGTGTCTCACCTTCTGCGCCGCGCTCTGCTGCAGCACATTCTGCTCCACGGTCATGGCCCCCGCGGCGGCCCCGCCTGTCGCGCTCTACCGGGCCCGGGGCAGCGACGCGGACGGCCCGGGAGGACGGCGCCCCCGCCAGCCGGGAGCGAAGGCGAAGGCGGCGGGCGATCGCGGGCCCCGCGGGCAAGCGGCGAGACGCTGCCGGAGAGCGCCACCGCGGCCGCCTCAGGTCCTCTGCGTCCCGCTTCTCAGAGCCGCTGGTCCGCGGCGGCCCGGCCCATGGGCGCAGGCGAGGGAAAGCACGAGCAAGCCGGGTCGCGTCACGCGTTCGCCACTCAGCTTCGCCTGACCGCTCCGGGGGACCACTGAGGGCCGGTGGCAAGCGGACGGAGGGAGCGGCCACCCGGAATGGCGCTGTCCTCCAGCCGCCGCGACTCCGCCTCCAGCCCCTCCCCCGCTGCCGTCACCGCCCCCACCCCGCCCTCCGGCCCCGCCCCCGCTCAGCCCCGCCCCACCCGTCCTAACCCTACATTGTGACCCGCGGGGGTTGCGGGAGGGGCTCTGCTGCTGCCCCGCCTCCTGGTGTGCCCCGCCCGCCGTCTGAGCCCCGCCCGTCGCACGGGCTGGACAGCCAGAACCGCCCTTCTTGCAGGTTACTGTGTGCTGGTTTAGGGCTCTCGCTAAAACTCTTGACGTTCTGACCCCCAGTCTGAAGCTACCAGTTCACCCTCTTGTCCAACGTCTCCAAAACAATCAACGTCTTTCCGTACTTGTAAAGTCCCAAAACCTGGGCCCAGAACTCCAGCTACTTCTTACGTCACTCACGCCTTTCTAGGAATTTCACAAGCCATGAACCTGCTGGAAGAAAAAAAGTCAAATAAGCAGACGCTGTTAAAAGTCCTTCTGGATTGTACTTTTCTCAACTATCCGTTACAGATATCAGGATTGACATTCTGTGTTTATTTCATGCACTGGAATGTGTGCCAGTCACTGCTAGACTGGGGATTTAAGGTTTATTTACTGAAGAGAATATAAATGAATAGACCTTAGGCAAACAACATTATGAAAGAATCACTGACTAGATGATGCATAATTCTAATATCCCTGTTGCCAAATTAAACAAACGATTAACTACCGCATGTGGAATAGTCTACTGTAAACGGAATTGTAGGGAAAGTCTAACAGTGAGAAAGAAATCTGGAAATAAAATATCTTTAATTGCACCAACTAAATTAGGGGCAGAGTAAGGATGCAGCCCAGGGAAGGGTAGGTGAATGAGCACAGGGTTACAAATACAATAATACAATGCACATACAAATTAAGGTGTAATTTAATCCATGGCAAGGAAAGCAAGCTTGGTAAAGAATTCAAGAAATACCAGGTTTTATATAATCGTAGTTACTTGAAAAAAGCCTTGTAATAATTATTTTGTACTTGATAACCACATTTAATCTTCCCTTTGGATGTCTTCAACCATCTTTCGTGATTTTTCCCCTTCCCTCCTCGTATTTGCCATGTTAGTTTGACAAATTATAAATTTTTACTTCATTAATGGTCCTAAATCCTTGCTAGAATACAAAAGTTGGGAAATGATTTGATGCGAGGAATTTTAGGGTTAGTTGGAGAATTCCAGAGCATGGATTCTTAATGAGAACACAGACTCAGACGGTAGGTGTCTGAGAGCTGCTTTTCCACAGATAGAGATCACAGGTCTGTAACTTCTCATTCACCAAGTCGCTTCGTGATTCTCCATAGGGGGGAAGAGTTTTGGAATGCCAGTTTCTTCCTTTCGAAATTACGAAAGTTACCTGAGATTTGAGAAACATCTCAGTAGTAGCAAGCATGGATGCACACGGCGGCTGTATATTTGATCTTCAGGATCACTACTTTTAAAAAAGTTAAAATTAACATTAAAGAACTCGTACAGTGTATTTTTTTAAATCTATTGCCGGACATTAAATTTTAATTTCAGGAATTTAGAAATACAATAACCCTCAGAGTTCCATTCTTGAATCTTAGTTTTAACATCTCTAGTACCTACCTAGTAGGTAAAAGTTTGATGGCCCACCTAGAGATTTAGTTTCCATCTCATTTCTGAAGATTTCTTAGTCGTTCAATGATTTTCTTTTTTAGCACACTGTCAATTGTCCAAGTATATAATTCTGAGATAACTTATTTTTAGGTTAGCTTATATGTGTTTCTTTTTAGAAAGATTGCAATTGGAATAATGGGAGAACAGAAATTTGGGGATTAGCATAGATTAGTACCAAATTCCGTTTTGAGAACTGAGGGATTTGGAGAACTGACTCATCTTCAAACTTTGCGTATCAGTTTTGTTCTTCACGTATCTGCTTTAGTAGGCATGTTCGCTGGAGTGTGGAGTTACAGGATATTATATAAGAACTCCTACCCTACTTCATTACTCTACATTGTTGATATTCGGTGAAAAGAGATGGTAAACGTTATGTGAAATAAAAAATATGGTGTTTAATCATGCTATAATTTGAGTATTTCTCAGCCGGGCAGTGGTGGCACACGCCTTTAATCCCAGCATTTGGGAGGCAGAGGCAGGTGGATTTCTGAGTTCGAGTCCAGCCTGGTCTACAGAGTGAGTTCCAGGACAGCCAGGGCTACACAGAGAAACCGTGTCTCGAAAAAAAAAAAAATTTGAGTATTTCTTGGCAAAGGCATACTGACTTAAGGCCCACATCGACAGAATTGGGAACTGGAGCCTCAGGAAAGGTAAAGAAGGTATAAAGATTCTACCATTGTGAATTAATTAATAATGAGTGAATTATTACAAGAGTATTATGAAAAAAACCAAACAAACAAGATCACTCCTCTTTTACTCACATTGTACATGCATGCCCTAGGGCGCTTGCGCGCAGGCGTGTGCATGTGGGCGAGGGCGCGTGCGCGCACGCAGAGAGAGAGAGAGAGAGAGAGAGAGAGAGAGAGAGAGAGAGAGAGAGAGAGAGAGAGAGAGAGAGAGAGA